AAATACCGGTATTAAGTCATAATTTGGAATATAAAAAATGTAACGATTCTTACTTTGAATGTCTAGGACTTTTTCGTACTTTTTTGATATTTTACAGAGAAACGACTACAGACATTATTTTGTGTAATGTTTGTAAATAACTAAATGTTTACCTGCTCTGTGATCCCATTTTCGCGGTTTTTATTTCTGAAGAAGTTCGAAATACATCATTCAAATTTACAGCTGTAATCTTTAAAGATGTTAACCAAAAGATATAATATGACGTTAAGTAAAAAAAAGTTATGAGAGAAGTCCGCGAACTTTCAGAACAACCCTCGTATATACATGCATGTAGTTAAATGATGGCACTCTTTTTTTCATTTCCTATGATTTCCGTGTTTTTATTTAAAAATTTCTCATCATTTATTCATTAGTAAACGACAGTAAGGATTAATTGACCAAAATGTAGGTCACTTAATACATGTATGTTTAAAGGTGTCTTCCCTCGTTTTTTTTTTTATGTTTCTTGTTTTCTACTTTATATGAAACATTATAATGTTTTGTTTATCTATATTTATGGTTTCTTTTTTTTTAGAGGGGGGTTGAAATATGAGGCGATAACAGACAAGAATCACTTGTTATTTAGGAATTGTCACGTGGTTTATGTGAGTTATCCTCAAAAACGCCAACATATAAGAAGGAAGGACACAAATAATTGACAAGCCAAAAGAGAAAACAAACCTATATTCCAAAACTCAGGAAGGGGGTAAGATTCTAATTTTTGGCCTTTTTAATGCAATTATGTGGCAGACTTCTACGTACTGTAACAAAAAAATGTGTTTATGAGTTTCAGTTGTTTATGCAGACGCAACAAATCTGACGTCATTTTGTTACGTGCAACCACTGCAACGCGGCCGAGTTAAGAGGATCTAAATCTAGGAATCTAGGAAAAGTATACTGATAAGCGGGCTCATTCTGATTTCAAGAACCGGGGTTCATTTGATAAGAAGCTGTCGTAAGTAGAAGACTTATAGGGAGGTAAGGTGTTTGTGTTTACTCATTTGCGGTCTCTCGGACCATCTGAGTAACATAAATTCCTACGTTTATAAGAGAGCAAATTATATTTTACGAGTGTTTGAAACCCAGAGTTTAGTAACTTGTGGTCTAGGAGCTAGTACTCACAAATAGTTTCAGATCAAGGCTTAGAACACGGAGATAACAAAGCCGGAAAATTACATTAATATTGAAGATCAGTTTTTTAATCGTTGTGTTGTTGATTGATATTGATTGTGTTCTGTTATTTATTAAATCCAGTCAGTTAAATACGTCAAGTAACACAAAAAGAATTATATAATTATATTTCTACTTCATTCGTGGTCGAACCCACAATACACATTACACTATTATCACCAGTGAAATGGCTCCCATTTCACTTCTGATACTTTTTTTTAAAAAATAATTATTATATTCATTATATTTAATGATTTTACTGATTTTCAAAAGTAACATGAGTAATGAAGTTAAACAACACAACATCTGGCCAATTCTTCATCTCCAGAAATATTTAGTGCTTTCTTAAATCATTCACACTCATACTGCCTGATGACACTGGTCACTGATTATGTTTTAAGTTAATTAATTAAATAAATCTTCTTTGACTTCCGGACATTATTGGAGGAACTTGAGTAGTCTATAAAATATGTATAGTATGATTTAAGCAAGAGTTATTTCCCCCATGGCCGCCATATTGTAGGTAAACATCCCCAGATCCCAAGTTCAATTTGTAATACTGGGCAATGAGGCGAAGATAACACTGTTTTTCTTATTAATATACGTTTGTTAAAGGCTCTTTTAATTCATAATTTCAATTTTTTAAAATATTTTTTCCCATATATTTCTGGTATGCATGTTTAAAATTGGTTTAAAATTGATTGATCAAAGAGGACAATTCACTACTTTGACCTACAAGATGGCGGCCAAGGGGAAGAACTCCGAGGCAAAATACGTCATAGGAAAACTATCTATTGCTCAGAATACTTATCTGGCAAGTTTATGCCTTTGGCTATTTTTACACCGAGTGATTCTTTACAATAAGTAAATAACTAGATACTCGTTGCAAGCAGCGAGAGGTCTTCCCTCCGAATAACCATCCTTGTATGTGATATTCTTTGCATGTAAAATGAAATTCAATATATGTGCTCGTAGTAAGGACACCTAAAAATATAACATGGCTCTTTAAAAAATACTAGGATTTTAAAGATTTTTTATGTAAAAAAAAAAAAATGAAAATACCGTAGAATTCACACAGGAAAAAAAGAAAAAGCTAAACATGATATATAAAGATGAAAGCGTAAATTTAAGCTAAAAATCAGGAAAAACATTCGCACATAGTCGGGATTAAACATAGATCGGCTGCATGAAAATTTTAATTTTTTTGTTTGTTTGTTTGTTGTTTAACGTCCCTCTCGAGAATTTTTCACTCAGACGCCACCACTTGCCGGTGGAGGACTGCAAATTCATACCTATAATCGGCACTCAGGGCAATTGAACAGTGAGGAATCTTTTTCGTGTCAACACCTACCTTGACACGGGACATCGGTTTATACGGTCTTATGCCTCTCATCCTCTCATCCGAAGGACCGGTCTCCACGTCCCGCAGTGGATTCGAACCCGCGACGTAAGGATCAGCTCTTTTTTTCCTTATATTTTACAAATACATATTTCCCAATGAATTTTATTATTTTTTTCCTAATTATGTCTATTCGTTTGATTAAATAAAACGATCTGCGACTACCATAGCCTCCAGCCATCTTATACCTGGTCAATTATGTGACGGTTACTTAAAAAAAATCCCTTCAATTCTGGATCACACATCCTACTTGACCAATTGTATTTTATGTATGTTTTATACCTCGTGTACCATTTAAATGGTGAAATGTGAAGATAACGGATAGAGATCAATATCATAAATCCAGTACACAAAACAAATCGTAAACAGTGCAAAAACACAAACCCTAGAAATAGAGGGAGAATCGGTTCCTAGGAGGAGTAAGCATCCCCTGTTGACCGGTCACACCCGCTGTAAGCCCTGTGTATTGATCAGGTATGCAGAGTACTCTGTATTCAAATTAAGTATAAAATGAAAAAAAAGGTGAGATAATGAACAGTGATCTAGCAAATAGAAACAAACATGTCCAACAATAGGTTGTATTTACAAACAAGGTCATTATAACGACCGTAGAATTTAAGAACAGCTAGAAGACACATTTTTATCTTTCATAGAAATTTTCAGAAAGTTCTTATAATCAAAGGTCATATCTCAAACAATATTTAAATGCCAACAACTGCTCTGAGTTGCGTGACATGGTGTTTAACGTGTCCGTCTTGGTGAGAAAACTAGAGCTTAGGATTTTCTTTTATCTTTTAGGCTCAATCCCCAAAGAAACCACACATGGATTATTTCTACCGTAGTGGAATTCATGCTTATAGAATTTTCAGCAGAAAAGTATTCGATTTGATTGTCATAATATCTTATCCATTAATAATGAAATCATTGACCTGAAACTAATTAGTTCAAAAACTGCATTTGATTTCTACACAAGAAGCATTTGGCATTTCCCACGCCTTATCCACCCATTTTCTTTGTCACGTAGTTACCAATTTATACTGAAACGCAAAAGAAACGCAACATCCTATTTTAGGGGGAAATATTATGTATAGGATATAATTTTCTATCTAAAAAGTAAGGACATCTTCAACTTTGTAAATATTGGTAATTTAACGGTTGAATGATTTTCATGCCATTACCGGAAGTTGGATTTGAGTCCGCTTAACAGAAATCAAAAATTGCATGTTTAACAAAATATTTGGCAATAATATGGGGTTTTAAGAATTTGTATCTGTTCATCATAAGTATAATGAAGCAATGTTACGAAAAATAAATTCTCCTTTCTTGTCCGTAAGCGATGCCAAGGCTTCCTAAAATTGACTTTGCTCTAGCTGGAAAATCTCAAAATAAAGGCGAAGGAGAGTTGTAGATGCAAATATGCAACACCTCACGCCTCAACAGGCGTTACGTATCATAAGCATGAATGACAGTCCTTGGACCGGATGTCCAAGGGTTACTACACTGCGCTTGGCTAGAGAAAATTCGACCTCATCATCTGAAAAACAGGCATTTGAAAATGGCAAAGAATATTTCTTTCGCTCAGATCTCGAGATTGATGAACCTACTGCATCGTAGAAATCAGGCTGCAACTGTTGTACATGGCAGTCTTGCACGCTGTAATTGAATGGCCGGGATGGGGGGTGTTTAAAATTCCTGTGTTACTTTCTAAAGTTAAAAGATTATAATTTAACATTTTTATCAAATCTCTGATGTTTGTAAATCGGGTTTTACCTTACTGTATTCATTTTTGAAAATCATTAGATAAAAAATTAAAATATTTGTAAATTACTGCTTGTTGCGTTTCTTGTGCGTTTCAGTATACTTTAAGGTTATTGTCTATAAATATAAAAATGTTTGACCTATTTAAGTCAGAGCAAAAAGTTGTTTTAATAAATTATATTCAGTGAACATTACCTGCATCTTAATGGCAATATGCCTTCTTTATAGATTGAATAAATAAATTAAGAAAACTGAGACACTCTTTTGTCCATTTGCCTTTTAAAGGAAGCTCTAAAGGCAATGAACACTGAAGAGTTCCGATTCCATGGTACATGTAGTTTCATGCTTTAAGAATGATCTGCCAATACATTAAACAGAAGTTTAAAATGCATGAAACAATTTGTAATAGATTTAAGTATTTTTAGCAAATATAATAGTCTAAAACCAAGATAAAGCAATATATTATTTGCATGTATTTTCCTAATGTAAGTAAGCAACAATGAATTCTGTTCACTAACATTTTTATTGTCATTGGACATTTTTTCCAGATGAAATATGTCAGGTATCTTATTTTGAAAAATGAACTTGATTTAACTCGACACATACATGTACATCTAAATTTGATATAATAAAATCAAACACACATTTGTTTTTATTATTTAGAGAATCCTTCTCTTATGAGATACAGCATAACTTAAGCTATGGTTGTTACTTCTGCAGGAGTACAAATTAGTTCCTCATTATCTAACTGAAAAAAAGCAGACTTCTATTAAAAAATATACTTTAAAAAAAAAAAATTTCAAAGCTTTTGTAGAATTTTTCTTTGAAAATAAAAATAAAAAGAAATTTCCGTACTTTAAAATGTCCTCAGAGTGCTTATTTTGTCTCTAAAATTACGAGTTTAAGTAAAAAATATAAATATTTTCATTAATTTCAACATTGGCCTGTGTTATACAGCACTGCTAAGAATGGGAAAGTAATCTGACAAGGTATGAAGTCTGACGCTTTTCAACAATTCACGTTTGGATGAACGGCTGACGTGTAGAACAAAACAAACGGTCCAGGCTTGGTTATAACCAATGTTAATACTCAACAAATTTGTTTTGTCAACTGATACGGTCCTACAGATAGTATTAATAGCAAACAACGCGTTATATCCTTAAGACTCTACACAATCATTCAATTGAAGATGAATTGTGAAACATACACAAGCTGTCAATCAAAGATCTCTCTCTCTCTCTCTCTCCGTGTGTGTGTGTGTGTAATAGATCATTCAGCATGTGTTAAAATCGAAATAACATTCATCAGGTTAAGCGTAAAAGAATGTATAGTGATGCTGAAAATGACAAATTCAGTTAACTCAAAATCAAAATAACGGGATTGTCGTGTAAAGATGATTTAGTGACAAAAGTATAATGCTTGAACATAAAAATATTTTTCAGGTTAAAAAATCTCTTTGCATACTTCACGTAATATTAATGCTGATGCTGCATCTACATTAGTAATCTTTCACTCGCTTTGCCCTCTTTTTCTCATATTATTAATCATTTTTTCCATCAAGCAAATCAGAATACATACAAGATAAATATGTGTATATGTACAAGAAATGTAAATGTTGAATACCCACAATATTAAACCACCTTTGTAAAACACAGTTTCATCAATTAGAATCATACATTTTTTTGAAAAAAAAAAAGCTAAATGTAAGAGAAAATAGAACTAACATTCATTATAATCATTTTACACAGGGTGCATTGTTCGGCAATTTGTCATGCGATTTACACCAAACTTCATTGCGAACAAACACCACATCCAAGGCAGTTCCATCTTTAGGAGAAGGCACGAGAGGTTCTAATTGGGAATGTTCGGTATATCCACCAAGGTTCTGAAAGTACTCCCGTAAAAATTTCAAATTTTTCACAGATTCTTCTATAACATTTCTACTTCCATCGTAAACTTTATATTCGATCGTCCACACATCAACAGTGAATGTTTTCTTTTTCAGACCGTCTTGTAGTGCTAGCAAGATGCTTTTTTCTGCGCCTTCAACGTCCAGGGAAAAATAGTCAATATAATTGACTTTTATATGATTAAGAATTTCTTCTAATTTAAAACATGGAATAGGTACGAATTCCTTTTTCTTAATCCATTTAACATGATGTTTATCTACTTCTTCCTGTACTGCACCAATAGCTTCTCCTTTGATAAATGTTACATTTTTAGTTGAACTTGCAAGACACGCACAGAGTCTCCAAGCTCGACGTTCAAATTTATCTATTCTTTTACAGAGATCCGGATTAGCTTCGATAAGAAGACCTGTCCAGTTGTGCTTTCGCTCTAGCCACACGGTATTGGAAAGACCCTCTCCATCATAAGCACCAATCTCCAAGTAAAATCCTCCTTCTTTATTAAGGATATCATAAACAACTTTATCCTGGCCTGCCTGGGAGTATCTTTTGTCCACATTGTCTCTTTTCTTGTAAGGAGACGGTTCCTTTATGTAATTTTTTATATCAAACGACATTGCTGTCGTCGCTTTCCCTGAACAGTCTTTTCCATTTGGCAATTTGTCATGCGATTTACACCAAACTTCATTGCGAACAAAAACCACATCTAATGCAGTCCCATCTTTAGGAGAAGGTACGAGAGGTTCTAATTGGGAATGTTCGGTATATCCACCAAGGTTCTGAAAGTACTCCCGTAAAAATTTCAAATTTTTCACAGATTCTTCTATAACATTTCTACTTCCATCGTAAACTTTATATTCAATCGTCCACACATCAACAGTGAATGTTTTCTTTTTCAGACTGTCCTGTAGTGCTAGCAAGATGCTTTTTTCTGCGCCTTCAACGTCCAGAGAAAAATAGTCAATATGATTGACTTTTATATATTTTAGAATATCTTCTAATCTAAAGCATGGAATAGGAACAAGGTCCTTTCCCTTAATCCATTTAACATGATGTTTGTCAACCTCTTCCTGTACTGCACCTATAGCTTCTCCTTTTATAAACGTAACGTTCTTGGTTGAACTTGCAAGACATGCACAGAGTCGCCAAGCTCGACGCTCAACTTTATCTATTCTTTTACAGAGTTCCGGATTAGCTTCGATAAGAAGACCTGTCCAGTTGTGCTTTCGCTCTAGCCACACGGTATTGGAAAGACCCTCTCCATCATAAGCACCAATCTCCAAGTAAAATCCTCCTTCTTTGTTAAGGATATCATAAACAACTTTATCCTGGCCTGCCTGGGAGTATCTTTTGTCCACATTGTCTCTTTTCTTGTAAGGAGACGGTTCCTTAATGTAATTTTTCATTTCAGCAGTCACTGTTTCTTTGCCTGGACAGCTTTTTCCGTCTGGCAAACTGTCATGCGACTTACACCAAACGGTATTACGAACAAACACCACATCTAAAGCAGTTCCATCTTTCGGGGAAGGAACGAGAGGTTCTAATTGAGAATGTTCGAAATATCCGCCAAGAGTCTGAAAGTACGCTCTCAAAAACTGAAGATTTTTTCTAGATTCTTCTATTACATTTCTACTTCCATCGTAAACTTTATACTCAATTGACCATACATCAACAGTAAATATTTGAGATTCAAGCCCTTTTCGTAGTGACTGCAAAACAACTTTTTCAGCTCCTTCTACATCCAGCGAAAAAAAGTCAATGTGCTTTCTTTTCACATGATTTAAAGCTTCCTCTAAACTAAAGCAAGGAACAGACACTGTATTATCTTTCTTTAAAAGTTTCACATGATGCTCATTTACGTATTCTTTCACACTACCAACTGCTTCTCCCTTAATAAAAGTTACCTGCTTAGTTGCACTGGAGAGACATGCGCACATTCTCCAAGCACGACGTTGAACTTTATCTATTCTCTGGCAGAGTTCCGGATTAGCCTCGATAAGAAGTCCTGTCCAGTTGTGCTTACGTTCCAGCCACAACGTATTGGAAAGAAACTGTCCATCAAACGCACCAATTTCCACAAAAAATCCACCATCTTTTTTCAAGATATCGTACACAACTTTATCCTGATTTGCTTGTGAATACATTTTGTCCACATTATCCACTTTTTTGTATGGATGTGGATCGCGTATGTGATCTTTGATGTTGTATGCTACTTTTGGGGTTGTAGTCTTGTATTGTTCGTACTTAACCGTCGGTATATAAAATTCATGTACAGGGTAGGTAGTGTCTTTTGTTTCTGGACTTAAATCACCCGGGTTGTAGCTCATATTCCAGATGAGTACGATGAAACCTATGGCGACAAGCCAGATAACAACACCACGGAACTGCACCTTCATCGTTCCCCTGTAAAAGAAAAACAATCTTTAATAACTCAAAGAAGATGATCGCCTGTACATTAGTTTGTTTTCGTCTAAAAAATATCAATATTTTGAGAGAAAAATAATCCTTGTTGAAGGAATTATGGATAACTTCTCATTTTCTTATTTATTCTTGAATCAGTGTGTTTTCCAATGTTTGAAAAAATCATTGAAAAGGACAAATATATAAATATGAATAAGGAAAAATATTTTATATGCCTTCGTTTAAACAAAGTGGCATGAATAATATTTTTTCCGAAAAATTCTAAATTGCCCTAACCTTGCCATTCACAAGGTAAAATCTTTAAAATAACAAGCGCTGTTCTATTATCATCAATACACTCAGGTCTTCATTTTTGCCTCCTATAAGAAGATGGGACGAGAAAATGCCTATTGGTCTACAAATAAAACGTAAAAGAAAATAAGTCTCAATTATAACACAATTTACTTAGATATTTCAGTTAACATTAAGGACAGATGAAACTAACAAACTTTTTTTTCAAAAGCCATGAAAATAACAATTTAAGTCATATTTATATAAGTAAAACGAATAAGTTTAGCCACACAGATTTTGATTTTTTTTTTCATTCAAAATTTAACAATAATGTCCTATAAAGTGATAAGAATTTGTATTGATTGCAGAAAGGTTGAACATCAAAGAAAGTTTACAATTACTTAATATTTTAGAAATTTGATATTTTATTCATTTACAATTAAAAAATAGGTAAAAAAAATATATGTATATATATATATATGCCAATCCAGTCATCATTTTTGTTAGGATCATCTGTTCTTAATGTTTACTTTAAAATTTGTATCTTACCGAGAAATATTTGAAGTCCAGTTAATCAATAGTTTATAACAAACAATATTTTTTAAACACCACTACGTTTTATAAGCTGTGTGGTGTAGTGGTTAGCGTGTCAGTCTCAAAGGAAAAACTAGTACTGATACTCAGTTATTTTTATGGTTTGGGTTCAAATCCCAAGAAATCCTATTTTCACTATAGAAATTTTTGCCGAGAATTTTTTCAAAAGACAAATTTTCATACTTTTCAATCATTTTCAATAATTAGAACTTTGGTCTAAATACTAAATATAAGTTCACAAATTGAATTTGACTTTTATACATTTGAAGTTATGGGAATTTTGCACGTCTTGTTCCTCCATCTTTATTACTTGCATGAAAGTAATCGATGAAGTCTTACAGAAAAATCAGCACCAGAGACACCTGTAGAAGCAGGTATTAGCTACCGGAGAAAACCAAGTCTGACCAAGCATGTAAAACTATTGATCATCATCGCAGAAATTTCACCCACGATGTCTTTTATCATTCTTTCAATAATTAAAAAAAAATGTGTGCGTGTATGTGTACGAGAGAGAGAGAGAGAGAGAGAGAGAGAGAGAGAGAGAGAGAGAAAACGTTGAGGTCTCTATTAAAAATCTTATGAATAAATCACAACGATCACTCTAACTCCAGATAATCAATAACTTTTTTTTTATATTTCCTCGTGTGGTTATTCTGTATTAATTACAAAAAAGCTTCGATTGTGTATTACATGTATATCTGTATTTAGAAATTTAAAATAATTGATTTTCACTTGCAGTTGTAAATACTACAAAGTGTTAGCACCATTAAACAAGAGGCCCATGAGCCACAACGCTCATTTGAGTCACCTCGGCTTTTAAAAGATATTTTTCTCTATATATACCAATGAAAAAAATTGACCCCATACTTTGTTGGGCTTACCCCGGCCTCAAGGGGGTCATGACTTGATCAAATTTGAATCCACAATACATGTCTATGGTGATTTTTAATTTAATTTTTCCTGCATATTTTGAGTGAATATTGAGTCCTTACTGTTGTCCCACCTAAACTCCAGGATAATGGATTCAATGAATTTGAATCTATGCTATATGGGAATGCTTGCAATAATAATATAAATTGTGTGATGACCCTTTTGTTCTTCATTTTGATATTTTCGCCTATACACTTCGATATTTTATTGTGGTCCCACCCTTCCTTAGGAGGGGGGGGGGGGCATGATTTGAACAAATTTGAATCTGCACTACCTGACAATGCTTGCATACTTTGATCCTTATTTTTGCCCCATCCTACCTCTGGAGGTCATGATATGAACAAGCTTGAATCTATCTTATATCATAAAGCGTTCACATTAGTTTCTGGCCCAGTGGTTCTTGAGAGGAAGATTTTTATGAATGTGCGTCCCCAACATATTTTTGCCATTTCTTGCTTATCTCCCCTAAATAGAGGGTTGGGCTCTTCATTTGAATTATTTTGAATCCGCTTTACCCTAGGACACTTTATGCCAAGTTTCGTTAATACTGGCACATTGATTAGAAAAGGTCACTTGAGTCAGGCAACCTAAAAATACACGAAAAGTATAGATATGGAATTATTCTGATATTGCTCCCTGAGTGAACTGTCCCACAGGTGGAAGAAATATATTTTCTGGGGACAATGAGAAAAAAATGAGAGCCCTACTCCGAAATGATATCACATCAAAAATTTATGTGCCTGATCTTTGAAACATCCCCCTTGAAATATACTTTCAGCACTGTAAAAAATTGTTAGTTTGGGTTGCAAAAAAGACACTTTTGAAAGACAATATTTGCTGTTAAATAAAATGTCCAATATAGATATCTAATAAAAAATGTTAATAAGAGTCAGGCAGATATAATTTTTTTTTAAAACTAAACAAAAATAAATAAATAAATTAATTAAATAAATAATAAATAAATACATGGGAAAATGAACAAAGTAGCACAAAGGTAGATAATTTGCCATAATTTGTAGAGAATGAAAAATTGCACTAATAAATCTTGTGTGAAGTGTACATTACGTGTATTAAAGATGGTGAAGGATAACCTAATATTCTGAAAACCCCCCTTTTTTTTAAAAAAAAGAAGAATATGTACTATCTTTAATCCACCATAAAGCCATTTCCCATAGTGCTGAAAGTATGTCTAACTGTTACATTTGCAGGTCTGTATATCATCATCAATTAAATATGCCACATAAACCCTTTATAACAGCAAAGGATATTTTGAGAAAATGATGCGGACTCAACCTTGAGTTCAACTGATTGATAATTTAGCCTTTCTACTGTGGTGCCTTTATTAAGCAACTATTATTTATCAACCGGGGGTATATAGTGATGCGGTGCCTGTCCGTCCGTCTTTTACGCTTAAGGGTACCCATCCCTTATCCGCATGTACCTACTCCTATATCACTGCATAAAATTTAATGAGACTTTCACGGAATCTTTATTAGAGAGTGCCATTGTGCACCTCCTATTTTACATTTTGGTGATACAAACGTCTAGCCACGGGGTTTCCTATAACAAAATATGGACGCTGCCATTCTTTCTATTAATATTGAGGGTACTAATCTCTTCCGCATCTCCTCCTAAATCATTTAATAAAATTTTATGAGACGTTCATAGAATCTTTATTACACAGTGCTATTGTGCACTTCTTATTTTACATTTAGATGAGACACGTATTTAAGATTTCTCATAGCAAAACATGAACATTACCATTCTTTCTATAATTCCTATACTACTGAATAAAACTTAAGGTCAACATCTAGTAAATGAGTGTATAGTGTCTTTTTGGTGTTAGATCAATTATGACATCATAATTGATTTAAGGACGTATGGTAGTGACGATTTTGAATCTACCGCGCAACTCCGAATGACGTAAATGAATCGTATGTCGTTCATCTCTTTAGTAGAGTTGGAAGTAAAATTTACAATGCAACTTATTTTAAAGATATACTTGATATAAAATCATATAAAATGTGACTAAAATTTCATTGGATTCAAACTAACAACAAGTCGAGGTAATTTTACGACTTATCTTACTTTTCGGTAATGTAAACAAAGCGGATGTTTCGAAAAGAATGAAATGCGGAGAAAACGAGGATTTTCGTCAACCAAATCTATTCAGCGGCACAGCAAGGCTTCGTTGACTCAAGAAAGGCGATGGTGAGCTGCGTCTGACTGAAAATTACTGTGCAAAGATTAAACCCATCATTCGAATCACAAACGCATGACAACTCTAGCCTAGCAAAAACGATCTGCCCAGGTTTGTCTCTAGTATTTGACACCATTTAACTAACATTACCTCAGAAATTCAGTAAAAGTGATTGTGGCTCAGCTAAATACCGGTATTAGATAAGATATATATATATTTATATATATATATATATATGAGTGAACTGGGTACTTTTTTCTGAATTGGGGGCATGAGTGAACTCACAACATTATACACTGCATGATAGATCATTTTTAGCAAAAATTAGGTTAAGTGCACATAATTTAGAAATTGAAAAAGGTAGATATGTTGAAATTAATAAAAATGATAGGTTGTGTAAAGTTTGTCAAAACCTTGATATTGAGGATGAAAAACATTTCATTTTGCTCTGTCCGAAATATGAAACACAGAGAAAAATATTCAAAACAAAATTATCTACTTTCCCTAATTTCAACCAAACAATCCATAATAATGACAATTTGTTAAAATCATTGATGAAAACCAGGTGTAAAAGGGTTCTTAAAATATTATCTTCATTTTTATGTCAAATATCTGATATTACAAAAAATGTTCTAGCTATAAATGAGTAACTACATTGTTATGAATCACCTAGTATCTGATGAGTACACTACATTATTTGCTACACCAATTGTTTGTATTCTAGTTGTGTTCTACTGTATTATTATACTTATTAATGTGTTCTGTATGGGCCTTTACCAATTACTGTAATTGTGTTTGTGCCAATAAAATATTTGTATTTGTATTTATAAATTAGTGACGATTCATGTTAAAGTTTTTTTCAAAAAAAAGCAGAGATTTTGTGATTAAAAATTGTTATATTCTTCCTTAGTTGTTGTTTACAATATAGATTCAAAAAAGTGATAAAGAGCACTACACTATATTATAATAAAAACAATACCACTGGTTACCAGTGCACACATGAGGGGGTAATTTACATGATTTATACACAATTCTGTTTTGCAATTTATTTTTATATTGTGTGACATGATTGCATTCCAGAATGTTGGTGAATCAATAAAAATTCAAAAATTTATAGATGTTATTCAGGTACGCTTGATTTTGGAAAAACGTTTCGAGTTTCATGTACTCTATCATGTCTACATGTATGTATTGATGCTTTTAAATTTAGCAAACATAGAAAATATATTAAAAGAAACAATAATTTATTATAAATGTTAAGTCATATGAGACACAGTTATAACTCAATGAAATTTGAAGGTAACCAGATGCAAGGTGTTGGACACTGTCTAGACAATTTTCTTCCAAAA